CTACATACATAGAATTTTATCTTAAAAAGCGAATATTTGTGATCGAATATTGATTCAGAATGTTACAAGTTGTGGAACAGCCATGTCGATTCTCAGAACTGAACCAAATTGTAATTCTCCCTGGCCAGTCGATCTGGGATAATGAAGTCTGAATCTTCTTCTAAAGAGGCAAAGCAAGTAGGCTAATACAACATATTAGTCTAATGAAACAACACGTATTAGTCTAATGAAACAACAATAAACTCCGCCCTTGGCTCTGAATACCCAAGCTAGCCTTTCCTACCTTGTACAGTGTCAGTGACTGTCTCCCCTAGCTCATCTGCAACCTCCTGCCCTGCCTGCTGACATCTACAGTAATGTGGTAAGAAGATGAGAGCATTATTAAAAAACACATCATGGTATCACTTTACAAAAGTACTTTGTTAACAAATACAGTAAATACTTTAAAAATTGTAAACTAATAATGACATATTTTAGTTGGCTACAGCATTTCAGCATTTAAAATGCTGAATAAAAATAAACTCTTGCTTAATGTTAAGTAAATTTATGATTTTTTTTATTGCTAGTTTATAATGGTGTAATTATGTCAACATTATTTTAATGTTAAAATTTAACAATTACTTATTTAAATTAGCATGATTTATGCTGTCTAGTCAAACTTTGTATCATCATCACTGCTATATATTTATGTTGCGTATTCATGTGTCTATTGTGGCATATGTTACCATATGTGTTCATAAATGCAGAATAAATAGTGTAACCCTCCTCTAAAGGGTAAGTACACACTAGGTTCGGATACTCAACTCAGGGTCACTGAATTCTAGTATAGTGAATGGCACAATCAGAAGTTATTGATAACCACACAAATTACCATTTCACATGAACTGTATTGAAGTAACAAATATAACACAACTGTTATCACAAGAACATCAATAAAGTGTGGTGCGCAATCAGTGTATGTGTCTCCTTCCTTTTTTTCTTAAAGTTCCTCAGTCCAGTCTTTCAAATGACCAAAAAGATGTTTCCTTTAGTGGAAATCAGTTCTGTCTTTTGGTTCCAAAAAACAAGTGAAGCAAAATCAAAATAAAAAAAATAATTCAACAAAAAAATGTTCTATCCAATCCCAATCTGGAGGGTTCAAGGGTCCACCAATGGTGCTTTTCCACTGCATGGTACGGCACGGTACGGCTCGGTACGGTTCACTTTTGGGGGGTTTTCCACTGGGTACAGTACCTGGTACCTGGTACTTTTTTTAGTACCACCTCGTTTGGGGTTCCAAGCGAACCGTACCGTTACCAAAACGTGACGTGTAAACTCTACTGATCACGTATTGGCCGGAGAGAATCGTCACTACCTGCGTCACTGAACTTGCGACACAAACACAAAAGAACCGCTAGA